ACGTTCAAGAAATTTGGATGCTGGACCACATTGAAAAATGCTGGTCCTCCTTTTCCTTATAAAACACAGGAGCAATGAAAGTTGTCATTACTTCGCCCCACTAGACTAATACAGTTGCTAAGATATAGCGTGATCTGTTAAAGTAAGTCCCAAGTCATTGCAGTAAGCAGGAACAAAATAATAACTTTCTACTATTAATAAAATAATATGTTCCTTTACCTGTAAAAACAAAATTAAATAAGGCATCTATATTTTCCATTATTTCTTTTCTTGAATGTGAAGTTATATTAACAGTAGTCCACATATACCTTGGACCATTTTCTGCAGTGCCTCAATAGCAGGTGTGTCCCCCGTGACATATAAAGGGTTCCTTGTCATAATCTTGGAGATGATTGTTTGCTCAACTCGCAGCCCCTCGGCAATGACCCTTGTAGCTATGTCCTATATCTCAGTTCAAAGGAAAAGAATGAAGCATGAGGTTATACTTTGACTAACAGTTAGATACTGCTGAGTCAGTGTCAGATTTGTTCAAACCAAATACAGATGAACACATAACAAGCCAACTGCATTACATTCAATGATTCAAGCAGTGATATACATGTATACACAGTTTCAGGTCCAGAACAAATAAGGACATGCATAGTGGCATCAGCTGCAAATTTCAAGCATATAGTAATTTAAACAAAGAATATAGCATTAGCTAAAGTTGCAATGATGCAAAGCGTCCAACACTAAAGAAATTCATTCTGTTCAGGCACTTGATTGAGACACAAGCAAGCTTTATTGGAGCGAGCGGAGTACAATCCAAAGCAGCCACTACCATACTATGACATTTTTACATATAAAGATGATACCTTTTAAGCTCCAACCCACTTAACAGTCAATCATAAGACATCTGGCACCATTAGATTCGAAACTGATGTAACTGAAGGAACACGATACCTTGTCGGTGACGATGCCGGAGAGCAGGCCACCGGCGTCGGTGAGCAGCACGGCATCGACCCGCCTCGCCGCCATCCTTCGGCACGCCTCCGAGACCGTGGTCCCCTCCGGGATCGTCAGCGCCTTGGACAGCCGCAGCTTCTTGACCGTCCTCTCCCCTCTGACGAAACCAACCAACCCAGCACCCTTAGTGATAGCTGAGGCGGAGGGAGGAGAATCCGTGAGAGGAGAAAGCTTATGGCGGGCTTACGAGGCGTGGTCGGGGGAGGCGGGCTTGGTGGAGACTTTGCCGTTGCCGTTGGCGGTGGCGGAGGTGGCGGCGGCGGCGGCCGTGGGATCATCGGACCTGCTGCGGGAGGACGCGACCGACGGAGGCCGGCTGCGAGTGCGGCGATTAAGGGGAACAGCGGCGGTGGAGCTCATGACCGCGGCCGCGTAGGTGGCGGCGGATTCTCGACGGGGTAGGGAAGGGACGGCGGCGGCCGGGATTGTTGGAGGGGAACGATCGCTGGCTCTTCTGGGCTTCCTTGCCTGTGGGCCCCCCTGTTACGCTTCGGTCCCTGCTATACTGCAAAACTGCAAATGATTTCCTTCCAGACTTTGCAACCGTGGTGAACTTGAACATAGGAGGGGTCTATTCAAAATTCTGGAATTTGAGAAAGAACTAAACTCATTCGTTTGTTTTAGATTATACTCCCTTCCGTCCCAGAAAACAACACGTTATGGGTACGTGCAGGTACTTTGAGTAAATATGTAGAAAATATGTGCAACATTATATCTTGTTTATTACAAAAATATATTCAACAATCTATCTAATGATACTAATTATGTATTATGAGTATTAATATTCTTTTATATATAATTGGTCAAAGTTAAAAAAGTTGACTTCTCGAGAAGTGAAAATGTCTTCTATTTTGGAACAGAGGGAGTAGGTCTCTCTAGTTTTGTCCTTAGTCAAACTTTTCTAACCAACTATCTTTTGAAAAAAATGATTACATCTCCATAGAGAATTTAAAGAAACTAATTTAAATTCGAAGATGTTTACTTGTTTTTATAAAAATAATCAAAATTAGAGAAGTTTGACTAAACTAACCTACAATTTAGAACCAAAGAGGGGGAAGTCATCCTTTCGATAGGAGAAAAAGCTTAAATCTACACTAAATTTTTCTAGCATTCATACTATAGACAATGATATATGCTTTTTTTTATCATGTGTTTATGGCAATATAAGAGTTTGTTTCCTCAGTACCGAACGTCCAAACCCAAATCGTGCAAGACCAAAACAAGCCTAAAGCAATATGAAAGCAAGCTATGTTATGTTGTTATGTGAGATCTATAGGGGCTAGGCCCATACCAATTTACTAGGAAATGCTGTGAAACACCCAATGCTTAGAGTATGTCTAAGAGTCTTTCTTAAGCTTACTCTTTAAATCATCACTTCAAAAGTCATTTGAACAAAACTCGCTTTCTTTCTTTCTTTTTTTTTGCTATCCAACAACTTTTTAGTGCGCACTCCCAATTCCACACAACATCTTTGGCTATCTTTGTTAATAAAAGTCAGAACGGGGCAACCCCTCCTGTTTCCATAAAAAAACATCTTTGGCTATAGAGAAATCTGAAATATCGGATAATAGTGTTTGCAGAACTAACAATTAACAAAAAAAGGTCTTTGGGACCATTTTTTTTCAAAATACCTATTTATATCAATAAGGAAGGATATAAAAAGATTATTGGAGTTGCGTTTCCTTTTCTTTTGTTCTTCTATTACTCTTGATGCAAACCATTATGGAAAATGCGAGACCTAGTTACCCAAGTCTAGACCAACTCATTTCGATGCATCTATGCTTGCTTGAGAATGAGGATTGATGAATACTATTACTACTAACTTAGGGTACGTTTTTTTTTTCCAAGGATAGGATGTTTTTCTCCGTCACGGAACTTGCCCAAGAAAACAACAAAAAATGGTTGTTGGTGATGACAATTCACAAAAGGACTCGTTTGGATTAACGTCATAATAGATGGGGTTAGACGAAACGTCCTACAGCGCGTTCTCCTCGTTCTTTCAACGCTGACTACGACTGCGGCCCGCGGCCGTCTCGATGTGGAGGTGACGCCGCTGGCAGGTGGGCCAGGTTCTCCGTGCGTGTGGGACCTTGGGCTGTCTGCAGGTGCGTGGTCGCTCGTGCGCTGGCCGTTCCGGATTCGAATCTGCAATCTCGGCCACGGTCCTCGACATTCACGTGCGCGTGCCATCGTGTCGTCGCCACCTCCTGTAGTGGGATTGGGATGCGACTGATGATGACGGGCTAAAAAAGGCCCGCCGACGAGTGCGGCCCGCCTGTAGCATCGACTGTGGACAACTCCCACATTGGACCTCCTCACTCGGCCCCAACACGAACTCCGACCTCAACGAGGCCCACAAGAAAAGTCCAGGGCCCCCAACATCCTGTGTCTGTCCACAACAGAGACAAAAAGGCCTTGGAATACACTCCCCCATCCCCCTGTGTGTGGATGAAAAGGCTGGATCACCATCCCAGACACGGTAAAAAAGTTGAATGCGCCTCATACGGTCGTAACAAACACTAGGAATACTACCTCTCGACAGAGCCAAATCATTTTCTAAAAATAAATTTGGTTATTATTAAAGGAAGAACGTCCTCAACAAACTCTATAAATGACTCTAAATTTAGTAGCTCTCCATCCCATATCATTTGCTCTCTACTTTTATATAACCTACCTCAATAGCCATCTAGCCTCTTGGTTTTATAGTCCGTTAGAGTACTCTAGTATGTTTTTCTCAAATCTATTTTAGAGTGTAGCTAAATCAGTAAATTTAGCTAGTCTTTTTTTGGCTAGTCTCTTGGAGATGCTCAATGCTATGTGGTTGTACCGTCGAGGGGACAAACACTATGGAATTACCTTGGCGAGTAAAAACCTCCGATGAAAATACCAAAAACATAAAAAAAAAAACTTTGGCAGCCAACTGCCAAGAATAGAGCTCTTGTGTGAACCACATCAACATAATTTGGTGTGAAGAATAGAGTATTAATAGATAGATACGAACGCCTTAAAGACTTCCGTCTCTGTTAATGATTAATACAGGTGAGCCTTTTCTCTAGACGGCCTTCCAATTAACAGATGTGGCATCTACTTATGCCCATCTCTGTTAATCTAGAGGTCTGTCTTCTAAAATCATTTTTGGTAGTGTCTTCTTCTTTATTTCTTTCTATCTTTCTTTCTTTTTCTTTCTTTTTTTGGGGAAGAAACTACTACCAACCTAGCAGGTTTGCAGGAATCTATAGAGAAATAAATCGCATACTACAAAAACAGCTCAAACTTCTGAATCAAGTTCTTATATATGTTCTGGCGCGTCTTGCTACCACACAATAATATTAAAACAGGGACAACACAACGCGGGCACAACTCATGTGACAATGATACAATCAGCAGTGGTTCGTCCAATCTTCAACGACACCTATCGGTTTCTGAAACAACTGAAGCATGAGCAACCCTGCAAGGAAGCAGCAGAACAGTGAATTCAACAAGGTCCTGTATAATGTTTCTTTCAACATATGACAGTGTTTCATTCAACATAGTCAAATTCTAGAAAGTTACTTCTAAAAGCAGTTGTGAAATACAATGTAGTGGGTTTTTACTTGGAACTAAACAACAAAAAACAGTGGATAGTCAATACTACTATAGCTACTATAGCACTGAACTTTATTGCTAACAAAAGGTAACAATGCTACCAGTGTACTTAATATTGCTCTGTCTGCTTAGAATATGTTCTGCGGTACTTTTCAGCAAAACGAAAAGGGCCTGCTTATAACATGTTCTGCTTAGAGAGAGGAGTTATTCTGCTATTGCTGAAGTAAGAATGAGGCAATGAACGCTAAAACCAGTAATGGTGCATCAAGTAGTCGAATTAAGTTATTCTGCTACTTGGTGCTAATGATGGTCAGTGCTCTGAAATCAATCGGCACCCATCTTCAGTTTTTAGAAGGACATCAAAATGCAAGAAAAATCAAAACTATAAGAAGCACATGCAAATAAATGCTTTAACCTGAATATTAGATCAAGAAATAGTTTTAAGTCAGAAGTGGACTCACTGTGGATTCGTGTTTGCGGCCTTGATTGGAGCGGTTATAACCTGTGTCACTGGTGATGGCAGGAGCAACGCCAGACTGTTTATCCTCCCTCACTTTGTTAAATATGGCGGTCTAACCTTCACCTGTGGAGGGATCTTTCTCATTCCATTCTTCCCATTCTCCAAACTTGCGAGGCTGTATGCGAAAGAAATAACAGTACATCTCTTCAGAAATTATACAGATAAGACAATTTCAAATGCAGTTTCAACTTAATTGCTTCAGTTCCCTTCACACTCAAAGTATCAATATATAATAAGCACATTACGGATTGTGTTTTATTGAAAAGAGATTAAGATTATACCATTTCGTCTCCACGGAGACGTGAAATCAGTATGGATAGTTCAGGTGTGTTTGGCGCAGTTCCATGGTTTCCTTCAGATGAACCCATGCGTTCCCAATTTCCAAATTTGGGAACTCCTTGATGCTGGTACAGTAGAATAAATAAATCCACATCAGACACTGGTTGGCAAATTGATCTAACACCTAGTACCATATTAGGTGAAGTCTACACTGGCGTAGTTCCATACGAGAATCTATTGATCCATCAAATCTGCAGGGAGCCACTGACAAACTAAATATCGATTCATACGAGTGGCGAACAAACCATTACTAGTTTTCCAACACGTCATGGTTAAGGTTAACACAATCAAATGGAAACATACTACTAACATGCAGCCATCACTGAAATTGGGAAAATCCCAAATACATAGGTAAACAGAGCAATAGACACCCCACATTTCACAAAGATGGCACCCCTTTAGGTTTATTAACTATCTCCCACATCAGTATGGAGGCCACAAGATCACAGTTGATGCTACCACAGTCCAGTGCTAGCTGACGAAACATCATCAAAAGACAAAAAAATAAACATACATATAAGTTCTTAGTGATAAATCAACATCATTGACTGGGCTATGAGCCTATGACACCAAGCATTTTAAGGGCACACGTTCGGCGGCTATCACAGTCCGGAGCTAGTCGACGAAACATCATCAGCCTAATCATAATACAATTCCCAACAGCTATGGTGTGCCTAACAGTGCATATAGTATACGGTTGTTTTCAGACAGTGGAAACCAAAACAAATCAGTCTACCTGCATCAGCTAATCTGCTTCTTGTTCTCAGCATGTTCATCGTGCCTATGTCTGTACAGAGCAGTACATGTGGTGTGGAATGTGGATTGGCAGGAGCTGTAGGCAACAGTAAACTGCTGCTGCAAGGTCTGCTGACCGTACCCTGCCTGATTCTGCACCGTAAATCGCGTTGGAATATAATTGCTGATATGATGATGTGCTATAGTATATTCTAAGTTGAAAGTTCTTTTAAGGTCAGAATTGAAGAACGTGTGTGTGGCCAAGACCAATGGAAACACAAGAGTCTAGGATCATCAACATCAAGAATTTTAAGAACTTATATGTATGTTTATTTTTTATCACAGTCGATGCTCACTCGATCCACGAGATGGATCCAGTCGATGCTGTCATCATTGACTGGGCTATGACAAAGAAACAAGATGTTCCAACATATATTGTCAAATTTACCAGGTTTGTTTGTATGTCTCGATCACTTGTCACATTGTCATCATTGAGTGGGGACACTTGTGGGACCGGAACCACTTCTATCTCACTCGATTGTCTGGTGACATCCACCGTAGTAGGCATATAAAGTAGGCCATCTGAAAAAAGTAACATAAAAGGAAATTTAGTTGTTTTCACTTAAAATTATTAAATTTTGTGAAACCAAAATATTTCAACACATAGGTGCACTGGATCTTATATTCATTACAAATAATAACAGAGTTTGGATAACTTTCTATATGTAGGAAGAAAGTGCAATTTGGTTAAATTTGTGTTTGTCATTGATTAAATAATTGTCTAAAGATGTAAAATCAAATATTTTTGTGTGCGAAATCCTATTGTACTCTTTCAGTTGTGAACAAGAGACAACATCCTAATTGCTTCAACAAATTGAACTAATTAGCAATGCTTGTAGTAGTAAAGAACAATATAAAGGACATTACGACAACATGAAATTGATTATAATAAATATAAACAACAATTACTGATCAATCCACAACAACAACATATCCCCATGTTTGATTAAGGGGAAAACAAAAATCACCAAAAAAAAGAACTCTGAATCTACACCAGTTATTTTGGGGACATTGTACTTTTAACCATGTATATTAATTAGTGATAAATCTATTGTATATTAAATATTAATAAACACATATTTTCAAATGTTGGAGCCATAATTTTAAAGAAAATACATATTTAAAATAGATACGAAATTGTGTACTTTAAAGAAATACATTATCAGATGAATATAAAAACTGAAACTATATTTTAAGGAATCTTCTGGAACAACTATGTGCTCCATTTAGTTTTGTTATGTATCTGATTAATCTCTAAAATTAACCTTACCTGTAAAATGTATTTTTAAACAAAACAAGACAAGTTTCTTTTGGAGTGAAGTATATGTACCTGAATGAGATGAAGTTGTAGCTAAACCAGGAGCTTGGGGAATCCTAAGAAAATAAAAGTCAGTTCAGTTAAAATAAGTAAAATAAAAAGAACAACAATTAAAAGCATCCCATGGTGTCTACCTCAATGTCAAATATACAAAATATAATCGAAGTAGTTGGCACTAGACGTCCAAATCTACTAATCAATAATAATAATAAACTTAAATATATATATTATAAATCAAAATTGTGCACAAATTTTATGGTTTGGTTTTTTTTGGTTAGTTATTGGATTGCCTCACCCTTGTACTATCTTTGATAAATTTATTTAGGACAAGCATATGTTCTATAGACACTTTTTGGTTAAATATCTGTCATAATGCAACTACTACTCTTTTTGGTTAAATATCTGTCATAATGTCTAGATTTTGGATAAGTCAATTTTTTCTAGGTTTGACCATGTTTATATGAAAAAGTATCATCATTTATGTCTCCAATTTGGTTTACTATTCTATAATCAATATAATAATATTTATTCAGAATCAGAAATATCAGTAAGTGTTTTGAATAAATTTGGTCAAACATAAAATTATTTGACTCCTTGGAAAGTGAGAATTGCATTCATTTTAGGACCGAGTAAGTAACTAAAAGAAGATTGCAAAAAAAGGTAAATGGCAAATAATTTTTAAGACTTTAAAAGAGTTTTTGAATTAAATATAGGCACTTACTGATCTTCCTCAATGAAATCAGCCCTTTGTACGTTGAATCTCAGATGCCTCAAATGCTTGCTAATGATGTCCTTGAATACAGATTCTGCTGCCATCTTGTCAAAGTCCTGTGCACCAGGAGCTACCCCAATTCGTACATTAATCTCTTGGAGGCTTAACAAGTGATCAATGCCGGCAAGCATATCACTGTACTGCTCTCGACTGTGGGCATTGAATTCTAGCTTGAGCCTCCGGAGGTTTGGAATTGCTTCTGCCTGAAATGCAAGGCGTAGGACGGAACATCTTAATTTGAGATATTTCAGAAATGGGAACGACACGCTGTTGAAGATAATGCTTTCTGCAGTTGGTTGCCTGACGTCCAACGAGAGAACAGTGAGTTCCTGTAATCCAGCAATTCTGTTAAGATCATCCCTCCTCAGTTCCCTAACAGCAATTTTCAGAACACATAGCTTTTGGAGCTGTCCAAACCATTCAGGAAGTCTTGAAAATATGCAAATGGGTGGCAACAACTCGAATTTCTCAAGAAAAACAGGTGGAGAAGATACTATACTGGAGCAGTCCGTGAAAATGCTCGGGCATGAAACACCTGGAGCAAGAGTAAGAGATTTTAGGCTTTCATGTTTCCCAATCGAAGAAGCCAGAGCTACCAAGTTTCTGTTCAGACGATCAGACGATGTTGTAGAACAGGTTATATGAAGATCACGCAGGTTCGCCATCTCACTAAGGCTCTTTACATTGTCTTCAGAGTTGCTGCTCAAGTCAAAACTCTGCAATGTTCGTAGGGATTTCAGTTGGCCAACATAATCGGGCAGCTTTATATCACCTTGAAGGTGGAGATGCAGCAGTTTCGGGAGATGGACAATATCTGATGGAACTGTCAATAAACTTGCATATATTTCCAGTGTTTCCAAATATTTTAGTCCTTGCATACTGACCGGTAGCTTTATGACAATATCAGTTGTAATCCGCACATATCTCAGCTGACACAATACAAAAATTCCACTTAGGTCGAACTCTTTTCGATCTCCCCAAAATTCAAGGATTAAAACTCGAAGCAGCTTAAACTCCATAATGGAAGGCAGACACTCAACAAGTCCATAAAATGTGAGTGATCGAACTGGTGATAGCGTGAAGCCGTCAGGTTTGGCTGCATATTTAGCATTGCTGAAGCTGAGAGACAGTCGGCGAACCTTTGCAAAAAGCTTTGGAATAGTTCCGGAGTAGTCTATTACAGTGGTGAAATTCTCTGCTATGGACTTGTGCTTAATAACTTCAAAGATAGTGGAGTGCACTGTATAGAACATCACCTCATCTGAGAAATTGAGATTAGGCTGTACAAGTCCCCTGCCAACAAGCTCATCAAAATAGCACTCTGCAACTTCGTTAATATCTTTACCTGCCACTGGAGTGATAAAACCTTCGGCGGTCCATTGCTTCATCAAATCAACCTTCATGAATGTGTACCCTTCATGATACAAACTAAGATATAGTAGGCATGTCTTCACTTGTTCCGAAAGAGTATAATAGATGAGTCCTATTATTTCTCTTAACAAGTCTTCCGAAGATATATTATTTCTGGAAGATAAGAATTCCTTAATATGGGACCACCGCTCTGAGTTTTTTGGTTGACTTGCCAAAACACTAGCTATGATAATGATTGCTTGTGGCAAACCACTGCATTTTGTTATGATCTCTTCTGCATATTTCTTCAGGTGTTCAGATAATTCAGTCTTGCAGCCTACTTTGTTAAAGAACAATTCCATGGAGTCATCTGTGCTCAGTGGCTCCATCTTTAAAATGCCTACTTGAGCAAGGAAACGAGAGTCCGAATCCAACTCAGGTGCCCAATTAACACTTGCATTAGTTAGATAATCACAGCACTCCAGAGCAACTTCTTCAATATCCGTCGTTATTAATATTCTACTACCTTGAGTACTCTCCGGAAAAGCCCTTCTAATAATATCCCAAGATATTGTTTCCCATAAACCATCAATTATAATGAAATACCTGCCGAGGTCCGAGTAAACCAAATATAACAATTATGTCGAGAAGGACCAGCATACGCAAGTACAGAAATACAACAATGATGCATGGTCAACAAAAGTCTGAAATTTACTCCATAAGGAATTAAGGATAATGTTTTCTATTGGCTCCTTGCGTTCTAGTAATAAGATATATTCACTACCTTTAGCTCTAACAATCTTGGATGCATAGGAGTTTGTAAGCTCTGAATGCTGGTTTGAACTCAAACAATTAAGTTCTCGAGCTCAAACAAACTGGGTATTTTAACACGCTTTAAGATTCCCTTTTCAAATACAAAATTTGTGAAAAGAAAGAAACCATAGGTTTCGCGTGATCAGTCTGATCTATGTTCTTTATTTTCAGTATTCCTTCATATTCTCTGCTGTCAGAAGTAACCATTGCCACTACTCCTGGAATAGACTGAAATACTGAATCTGCACCTTGGGATTATATGTACATAAATCTAGTCTGGTTACGCTCTTGGGCCCAGCTGCAGCGTGATGAGATAGCCAAGGACGCGCTCTCTACGATGAGCAAGAAATTAGAAATAATTGCTTTAGAGATATCCAATAAAGGATGAAAACATTTATACTATTTGAATTAGCGTCCGGGTCGATCTATAAGACTGGCTCTCTCTTTTTCCTCCAAAACTTTGTAATAATGGGCTGTGTACATCTATGGATGTAGAGGCCGGATATTGTTTTATCCATTATCTAAAAAAAATGTATATAAATCTAGTGAATGTGGATTAATATGTTTGGCAACGCAGAGCCAATTGCTTTGTAGTAATATATATGTCCAAATAGTATGACATGCATTCGAGATAAGTGGAAGAACGAGCTTATAACATACATAAGTACAGAAATACAGTACCTCTTCTGTTGAAGATGTGTTCTAAGGTTGTCTACGAGCTCTTGCACGGCGAGACCACAAGGGAGCCGTTGCTGGCGCCGGACTTGAGAGATCATGCTCCGGAGAAGCCTCCGTGTATCAGGAACTCTTGACGCCCGCACAAAGGCTCGACGCTCGAACTGCCTTCCAATTTCACGATACACTACTTGAGCAAGCGTACTCTTACCAACTCCAGCAGGTCCAAGAATGGATACTACTTTCAGCCGCCCTTGGGCCTCGTCGGCGTTACTGAGCCACTTGATGAGTTCGCCCCTTGATTCACTGATGCCGACGAGGCCTGTAGCCTTCCCGTTGAAAGACGATGGAAGCTGGTCTTGCGCATCCACCATGTAGCTAGGATTCGATGCCCAACGCTGAAGCTCGTACCTCTCGTGCCGCTCACGGGCCTGCCTCACAAGAGTCCTAAATTTTGTGACCACGGAGAGGATCTCTTTGTTCATACCGCGGTTGGACACCATGTCGGAGCTCATCGTGATGTCAATGTAATCCTCCATGTCGTAGGACAGCTCGCGCACCTCGTTCATCCAGCGCTTGACCATGGAGTTGGGACCTTCCACCGTTGACAGATTCACCAGCAATCTGTTTATTTCTTCTAGATCTTGTGTCAGGTGTTCGATTCCTTTCTTCAGTGATTTTGGCAGCTGAATCTCCGGAGAGACAATCTGAGCATGGAGCTTCCCAAGAAGGGATCCCATGGCTCCCAAGGATGAACTCATCGCCTGCTCTTCCATGTCTACTTGGAAGAAACCAAAGCACCGAGGGGAGGCCTAGCTACTCACTCGTTCCACACCATCTTGTCCACAGGTGCAGATCTGAGAGCTGAAAGGGGAAATGGGTGGTAGGTACGACTTGGGAGTGATGGCAATATGAAAGAAAATTTGGGTTTGTTTGCTTGAACGAGTGAACAACAATGCCTCTGAGGATTGATGACCCCCGCTGCTAACGATGCTTCGGCCTTAGACATCACACTGACGCCATGTACAGATGATTGACGGCACTTGTGCTACCGGTTTTAAAACTAGCAGAAATGTATGTGCATTGCGACGAACATACACGTGGTCTCCTAAATTACTTGTGGTTTGAAGATTTAATTTTTTTCATCTAATATGTATGGAAACTCCGTCTATGTTGTCTCAACATAGCAGGTCCCAAGTCTTAATAAAGGAGGAGGGTTGTGATAGGCGTGGCGAGCCAACGTTAAACCTAGCCATTCTAATGGAAATGAAACCCGAAAGAAAACCGCTGGGACGTAACCCTCTTAGCGACAAGCCATATCGGTACCTAGGTATGGTGTTAAATGGGCAAGGGCCGGGTCGGCACCCCCTTGGTGACGCGCCGTGTCGCGATCTGGGCATGGTGTCAAGTCAGTAAGGATAGGGTTGTCGCTTCCTTAGTGACGCGCTACATCGGCGCCCGGGTGTAGTGAAAAATGAGCAAGGGTCTTTACATCTGAGTCAACGGGTGCGAAGGATAAGGAAGATAGTCGAACTAACTAGGATCCGTTTAGATAGTTGGAATGTAGGGTCTGAAAGGATCAAGATGCCCAAGAGGAGGGGGGGTGAATTGGGCTAATCCTAAAATTCTTTGCAATAATTAAACCCTACACTTAGCTCACTTCACCCCTTGTGCCTAGAAAGTGTTTCTAATGTTCTACCGCATAAAAATTTTGCAACCTAAGTTCCAATCCTACTCTAACATGACAATTCTATGAATGTAAAGACAAGAATTGAATTGCTCAAAGTAAATGCTTAAAGTAAAGAGAGAAGGAGAAACGCGACGATGTTTTACCGAGGTATCGGAGAGTCGCCACTCCCCACTAGTCCTCGTTGGAGCACCCGCGCAAGGGTGTAGCTCCCCCTTGATCCGCGTAAGGATCAAGTGCTCTTCTTCTTGTACTTGTCTTTTTTGGGCTTGGTGCATTGATGTGCTAGATGACCAAGTTCTCTACAATTATAGCAATCCATCTCGGAGATTGACTTCCTTCTTGTGTTAGTGAAGAACTTCTTTTCTTGCCATCAAACTTGACGTCATTCTTGATTAGCTTCTTTAGCATCTTGGCGGTTCTTCTCACCATGAGAGCAAGACTTGCATCATCAACTTCATCATTACTTGAGCTCTCATACTCAATTCTTTGCTTTGCCCTTCTCTTGGCTAGCCTTGAATGCCAAGTCTTTGTCTTTCTTCTTGGTAGAGGATGAGCCATCTTGTGGTGTGATGTGCATGTACATCTCATGGGCGTTGATCTTTCCCAAGATTTGAGTTGGTGTAACGGTAAAAAGATCACCTTGATGAAGCACTGTCACAATATGCCCATATTTGTCAATGGGGAGGACACTCAAGATTTTTCTTACAACATTGGATGGTTGCATTTGTGTAAGTCCAAGCCCATTGACTTCCTCTATAAGAACATTCAAGCGTGAGTAAATTTCATTAGCACTCTCTTTAGGAAGCATCTAAAAAGAATTAAGCTTTTTCATTACGAGATGATAGCGTTTCTCATGCTCGCTCTTAGTTCCCTCATGAAGCACACAAATGTCTGACCATAGTGCATGGGCGTCCTTGTGGTTTCTCACCCGGTTAAACATATCTTTGCAAAGGCCTTTAAAGATGGTGTTTCTAGCCTTTGCATTCCATTTTTCGTAATTCACTTCATCGCCTTGAAGGTGCGTGGGATCCTGAGGTTTTGGAAAACCTTGTGACGCGGCTCTAAGTATTCCAACATCTAGAGCTTCTAAATACGCCTCAATGAGGATTTTCCAATAAGAAAAATCATCTCCCTCAAAGATAGGAGGAGGACCATGCCCGTGAGACATCTTTCTCTAGACGGTTAAGTCTAATTTCGTGAGCACGAGGCTCTGATACCAATTGAAAGGATCAAGCTGCCCAAGAGGGGGGGTGAATTGGGCTAATTCTAAAATTCTTTGCAATAATTAAACCCTACACTTAGCCCACTTCACCCCTTGTGCCTAGAAAGTGTTTCTAATGTTCTACCGTACAAAAGTTTTGCAACCTAAGTTCCAATCCTACTCTAGCATGGTAATTCTATGAATGTAAAGACAAGAATTGAATTGGTCCAAGTAAATGCTTAAAGTAAAGAGAGAAGGAGGAACGCGGCGATGTTTTGCCGAAGTATCGAAGAGTTGCCACTCCCCATTAGTCCTTGTTGGAGCACCCGCGCAAGGGTGTAGCTCCCCCTTGATCCGCGTAAGGATCAAGTTCTCTCCACGGGTTGATTCATCGACACTCCGTCGCGGTGAATCACCCACAATCGCTCACAACTTGAGTTGGGTCATCCACAAGCTCCACCGAATGATCACCAAACTTCCAATCACCACCAAGCCATCTAGGTGATGGCGATCACCAAGAGTAACGAGCAAGAACTCTCACTTGACCACAACAAGCCTAATGAGAAGGGTGGATGCACACTTGCTACTCTCTTTTCACTAATGAGGCCTCTCTCTTGGATTCTCAAATCTCAATCACCTCACTAGGACCTTGCTCTCATTGGCACTCTCAAGGGTGTTTCTCAGCTGTTGAAATGAGCAAAATTCATCCCTTGAGTGAATAGAGGAAGTATTTATAATCCCTCATTCAAAACGAACCGTTATGTGCCTCTGAGGTGTGATCGGACGCTCTGGTCAAGTTGATTGGACGCTCCGGTCAGTTCTCCCCGCCACTGAGCCGTTAAGTTGTGACCGGACTCTGACCAGCGTCCGTCCAGTCACAAAAACTGCTCTCTGAAACCTTACTGATGTTGACCGGACTCTGGCACCCAGCGTTCGGTCACTTTGCTGCTCAGCGTCTGGTCAGTAGCCGGAACCTGACCAGCATTCAGTTAGCACTGACCGGACGCATCCGATTAGGATTCTCCCTCTCTAGGACCTTACTGGAGTTGACCGGACTCTGGACCCCAGCGTCCGGTCACATTTCACTCAGCGTCCGGTCGCATCCAGACGACTTCACCTTGATCAAATGAACTGACCAGACTCTGCGCCAGCGTCCGGTCACACCGGAACCAGCGTCCGGTCAACATTTGACCCTCCATTCACTTCCAACTCGCAATCATATGTGAATGAAGTTTGCTCCAATTGATCTTAGGGCTATTTTAGAGCTACCTAGTGCTAGATTTGACAAGTGTGCACCACACCTAACCCACTAGACTCACCTAGGTCAAGCTACTAGTTTATACCCCCCTTAATAGTACGGCCAAAGGAAAAACAAAGTCCTAAACTACTCTAAGTGTCTCTTCAACACCAAACGACACTTAGAACTAGTCCATCCTTAACCTTGTCGTCCATCCTTTAAAAACTGAAACGATTTCCATCGTAGGGGCATGACAACCATGATTGCCCAATCAATTGCCATTACCATGACCTAACTTAATTGCCTCTGTAAAACACACGTTAGTCACAGTAATCACGTATTGTCATTAATCACCGAAACGCAACTAGGGCCTAGATGCTTTTAGGGTCGCTTACAGGTAAGTTAAGAGAATTAGTTGATACGGTGACTAGGAGGCGTGTAAATATATTATGCGTTCAAGAGAATAAATGGAAGGGTCAGAAGGCGAAGGAGGTGGACAATACATGTTTTAAGCTTTGGTACACAGGGACAGTCGCGAATAGAAATGGAGTAGGAGTTTTGATTGATAAGAGCCTCAAGAATGGTGTGGTGGGAGTGAGAAGACAAGGAGATAGGATTATCTTAGTCAACCTTGTCGTTGGTGATATGGTCTTGAACATAATTAGTGTGTATGCCCCTAAGTAGGCCTCGACGAGAGTGCTAAGAGACAGTTCTAGGAAGACTTAGATGGCCTGATTAGAGCTGTACCTAGTAGTGAGAAGCTTTTTATAGGAGGAGATCTTAATGGGCATGTAGGTACTATAAGCGCAGGTTTCGAGGCAGTTCATGGAGGTTTTGGATATGGTAGTAGGAATCAGGAGGGGGAGAAAGTTCTGGACTTCGCGGTAGCTTTTGACCTGATGATAGCCAACACTTTCTTTAGAAAAGAGAGAATCTCATCTAGTGACCTTCAGTAGCGGACAACACTATAGCCAGATTGACTTTATCCTCGCAAGAAGAAAGGACAAACGAGCATGCTTGGGTTGCAAGGTGATACCAGGGGAGTGTGTTGTTTCTCAACATAAGCTTTTGGTGGTAGACTTTTATTTTCAGGTGCGTGCCCATAGTGACAAACAAGCTAAGATTGAAAGAACAAAGTGGTGGAAATTGAAAGGGGAGACGTCAGAGGTATTCAGGGAAAGGGTTATCAAAGAGGGCTCTTGGAAGGAACAAGATGGCAACCAACATTCAGAAGGTGGCCTCAGAGGTGTGTAGAGTAACCAAAGGAAGTGGAGGTGAGGCTAAAGATACTTGGTGGTGGAACGAGGAAGTCCAAAGGGCTATTTTGGAGAAGAAAGAATGCTATAGACACTTGTATCATGATAGGAGTGTGGACAACATAGAGAAGTACAAGGTGGCAAAGAAGACTACAAAGCGAGCTGTAAGTGTGGCAAAGGGTAGAGCGTACAAGGATCTTTACCAATATTTGAGTACGAAGGAAGGAGAGAAGGACATTTATAGGATGGCTAGGGTTTATGAGAGAAAGGCAAGGGACTTCAACCAAGTTAAGTGCATTAAGGATGAAAGGGAGCATCTCTTAGTGAAGGAGGATGAGATCCGACATCGATGACAA